ACAAAATGAGGCAACATTTCATCACAATAAACTTTCCTAAACAAACACCATATGTGAAGAGTACTATTGATAAGATTTGTCATTAGTACATAAAGAGGAATTCATCGGCATAAAAACATCAAATATCAAAGAGGTACATTTGATGTCAGAGAAGGCGAATGGTTCAGCGTGGTGTAGATAGGAAACATTTATTTCCCGATACGAATTTAAAACAAGCAATAAAGGTTAATAAAGCAGGATTTAATGAATTCATCAAATTTCGGTAGAACTCGTCAGCTGAATACTCTACATACATGGATAAATATACTTTTGAAATTACACTAGGAGATTTAAGACTAATAGGTAAACAAACTACATTGAATTAGTCATGCAGAAAGACAGGTGCAAATGTTTTTCCAGGTCATGTTCAAATAGATAAGGGGAGAGAGAGTATGAGAGATCAAAATTAAGATACATGGGGGACGTGCAAATTGTGAGTTGAAGATATATAATTTGGCTATATAGAGATACCGATTTCCAGTAACACATTACTTGACCAAGTCTTTTGTTTTCTACCCTTAAACATGAAAGCGTTCAAGATAATCTACAACTTCTTGAGGCAAAAGCTGATAGGAAACTTTTAAAGGTTAATTAATCTCATAGCACCGCCAAAATGTAATACACATTTATAATTACAGTCTGCAATAGGCCAATACTATTTAACCACAGAACAACACGGAGAGGACAGAAATTCGTATTCAGCAGAATTATTTTTATTATGTACATACAATAAATAGAAACAAACAGCAACGAATGCTTAGACAACACAGTAATGGAAACATTCAGTCAGCACAATTTTTTTGATTTTAGCTTCTAATGGGAATCTGATTTAATATGCAGTATGCTTATTGATATGCATATCTTCTGATATACTTAATTTTGCAAACAGATAAAAAACTGAATTCCATATTAGATGAGTTTATTTTGAATATCACACAGTGATGCAATTTGACAAGTGGATGACGTTTCAAGCATAAATTATTGCTCTTAATCATATCAGAAAAACTGAACAAACTATTTTTGACCTGCTCGGTCCGATAAATAATCATTTTCATTGTTTATTTGATTTCAGTCCTTGAATAATCGCCATCCAAACATTAACGAAAACAAAACACATTGTTTAGGAAATTTAATTCAGCGGAATTTAATTCAATCCCTTCCCTTCCCACTCTCATGCGAAGTATCTATAGTCCTGACGCTCTAAAAGCAAAACTAGATCTGAAAGAGATCATCCAAAATGGATGCTCACCTAGATGCAATTACAAGAACAACATCAAACCAGAAGTTCAGAGAAATGAAACATTACTTATTCCAAGAAAAGAAACTTTACGTGAACCTGGATTTCAAGGAAGACTTGACCTGCAATATCCTCAAGGGAAGAATTTCATCATCTTTGAGAGGAACGTTCTTGGCAGCAACACTAAGAATATTGTTCTTCTGGTCTAGAGAAACCTTAAGGACCAGAGCTCGCATCTGACCACTTCGATGTGCATATTTCAGTTCACCTGTTCTTATGGAACCAGGTACATCGGTCATTGACAAGTATCCTGTTTGAAAGGGTTCAAGAACACTATCGTGCATAGCTACAGAAAGGTCGTAATGGCTCTATAGGGAATGCGATAATCAAACACCTTGTCAGCACTGGTCATTCCATTTCAACAAACGCCGACTCCAAAGTAATCTACAAAGTAAAGAATAATCTACCAAACGCAATATGCATTCGTCTTCTTTGCATTGCTGAAGCTTTAGCCATTCAGTTAGAAAAACTGGAGCCATGCAAAGAAAAGAAAACTATTCTTCTATAGTGGTTACAACCTTATTGATTTCTACTAACTTGGTTTTTGTTTGTTTGTTTTTCTAACTCCAAATAACTCCTGTATTTCTTTAAAACTCTTATATAATTCCATATTTTCCTTCGTTTCAATGTGCATACTGATTACAAATTATCTATTAAGTTATTCGTCATATTACATAACTCTAATACACTTATTCAACTCCTTTTATGCACTGACTAATATTCACAGTTATGATTATGACAACTGATTACTTTTTTTACTACCCTCTTCCATGAAAAAATTGTATATAAATGCGATTCAACAGCTAAAGAAAATGAATTCACAGAAAAGAGCCTCTTAGATGAACTACCAATTTGATTTAAATGAATAGTCGTCTATTAGATAGTTGGAGGCAAACGGCAGAAAGCCTTGGACCGAGGTTTCGTGCTAGTTGGCACTCATCAGCAAGACGTATCTGCAACCTTGAAGGAACTCATGTTCCTTCTGAGATTCGAACCCACGTCACCCAGTGCTGCATTTGGAAATTAGCGCTGGATATATCAATAAGCCTGGCAATAAAGTGTTAACGATCTAATAACACACGAGTCAAAGAAAACTAAATAACTGCCATTCCCAAATATTCTCTAATATTTCTAAGTTTTATTTGTGCCTGCATCATGATTTTGATAATCTGTAGAAGTACTTAGTAGCAAGTGTATTGATTAACGAGTTCAAAAGCAATAAGCATAGAATTGTCATCACTATACTAAACAATCAAGAAAATTGTCGCAACTTGTTTTGAATACGCAAATAAGTGGTGCGAAAACAAACACATTGTTACATGTGCCTTCGAACTCATATTCATGTGTAGATAAGTAAGGATAGGTTATATTCAAAAAAATAATAGAAATAAAGAAAATGGATACATGAATACTTTTTATATGCAATATGGTAGAGAGCAAGAGTTATGAATTAGTATCATTTAAAGAGTAAATACAGTGTTATAAAATAAAATGGGAAGATCAGTATTAATGAAGTCGGCTGTTGAATACGATCTCAATTACTCAGAATTTTTCCAACCAGTCTATCGAATAATGCATTATCATGACCAGTGTTAGTATCCTTCAGTTTATTCACTTATCGTCGAAACAAAGGTCCTGGGTTCGAACCCTGATGGGTGCGCACCGATGAAGAGTCTCAAGCTAGGCTGACGAAACAGATATCCAGTACTCCCAGGTTTTCCAATGGTTCTCTAACTGATGTGACCTCAAGATGAAATCCTCCGACAAATGACACGACAACACATACAAAAAAAATACAGCTGTAATTATTCCATTGTGGATAAAATTTATTTTGATAAAGTTTTACAGTGTTATACAGTAATATTTACTGATGACGTTTCGAGCACAATTTATTGCTCATAATCATATCAAGTTACACAATTTTCTAACTTCGTTTATATAATTCTATTATTTTTCATCTCTTGATTTCATTGGTAGTAGTATTTTTCACATCTATGGTACTGGTGGTGAGTCATTCCTATTGCATGTGTTGGGTGTAGATTCGATAAACGAAGGTTCAGTAGTCAACCTCTTTTTCCATCTAACCATTTTACTTTTTAGAATTTTAATTCTCTCCCGCCATATTGTCTGGTTGTGTGTTAATGCATGCAGCACAGTTGCTGAGTTTCTTTCTAAATTCTAAAATCTTCGCGGGGTCAACCATTCTAACCTTAGCTAAATTCTCATATTCTGACAATCTGACTACCTCCGATTTACTAGTTTGGCCCACGTAGTTGACCTCACTCATAGTCGTTGCGAGGTGTTTTGTAAATTCCATTATTTTGTCTAATTGGGTCAACAGGGTCCTTTGACGAACAGAGCTTGTCCTACCTTAGTGAGTTTGTAGGTTTAAATGCCATCCTGATTCCTGCTTTGTTAAGAACACTACGTAGAGCCTCAAATATCCCATCCTGATATTGTAAAACTGAAGATGCCTTATATTCTTTCTTATTTGTGTTATGATTATTAGCTTCGCCGTTATTTTTATTTTGCTGTTGTCCTTTTTTGATCTTCCTAATGCATTTTATAGGATAATTATTCAACACCAACGCTTCTTCTGTCTTTCATTTTATTTAGTTTTTTTGTTGTACTACTTGGTGCTATTGCTCGGTATGTTAGACACTTAACTAGGCTTCACTTTGCAAATAACGGATGAGATGAATTGAAGTCTAAATATTTACTAGAATGCGTTGGCTTTTACAAACTCTAGTGTGCAGTTTATCTTCTTCTATTCGTTTTATTATACAATCTAACATAGCTAATTCTCCATGTTCCTTTTCTGACTCAAATGTGGATTTTATTCCCTTAACTATTGAGTTTAAATGTGTGAAGAAGCTAGAAATATTGTACTTGAAACGTTATCAGTAAATATTACTGCATAATAAATTTTATCCACAATGGAAATATACTCTACCACAGTGTACAAGTTCCATTCTTATATCAAAGTTGCCATTACATATCGTGAAGACAATTTTTTCATCCCCGGCTCTTTTGGCGTTGTTAGTGCTTGAGAACTTAAAGAAGGATGAAACAGCTATCCTATACTCTCTTTTTTCAATTATTTTCTGATTGATGCGGACAAAGTCCATCTTGAGATTATTTGATAACTACATCGTGAAAATCCTTTTATTATTGTGTATTTTTAAATTTTTTGTTTATATTTCATCTAAATATTTGCATGTCGTAACCTTTTATTGATTTACTTTTGATTTAGCACTAACTCAAAAATTTTACAGACCAAAATCAAACTATTTTCAAGATAGTTTTCTTAAATTCGAAAGTAGAACATGTTGCTTTGTCCGAATTTTTGGACATGGTCATTACCATTATCGCATCACTTGATTTCGACAGTAAAAAAAAATAGGTGACTTATACTAAAACAAAAAATTAATATCACTAATCACCGTTGGTATAAATGCTTAGTTAGAATTAACTCTTATCAGTTTCTTTATACTCATTAGCATGCATAAATTACAAATGTTTGCATATATACAGGTTTGTTTGTTTGTTATTCTTTATGCCACTTACTAAGAAATTAATTCGTAAGCTACTTACTTCAGTTCACTTTTGTCCTTAGTCTCTTCTTATACACAGTGAAAAGAAGATACAGAGTTTATGTGTTATAATGTTGAAAATCTCCTCGATTACTTCTCTTACTAACGTCATATCTGTTACGTATTGTATTACTATTTCCATTATTGGAAACATTTTCATTTCAAATATTCATTGTTCCTCAAAGCACAATGATGGTGATATAAAACTAGTGGATGGTCCAAGTGAACTAGCTGGTACTGTTCTTGTTTATCGAACTTATGGTTGGGGTAAAATATGTGATGATCATTGGACAATGAAAGAGGCGAATGTTGTCTGTAAACAATTAGGTATGGGTTATGCTCTTGAAGTGTATAGACGTAACAGATTCGGATCAAGTTCACAAAGTAAGTTGATTTTTGCACCGAATTTTTTAGTTATTACAATTTTATAAAGTTAACTTGATGGTTTAAACTCCAGAAGACAGAGGTGATGAAGATTCCCGGGCAACACCACCAACAGCAACAACAACAACAGACAACAATCAGCATAAATGGGAGGAACCTGAAAGAAACAACCTCCTTTACCTACCTGGGAAGCATCGTTTCAACTACAGGCGGGCGGAACTGACGAGGATATCAAAGCAAGAATCGGAAAAGCAAGACAAGCTTCCACTACTCTCAAGTCTGTGTGGAGGTCAACAACACTCAGCATCAAAAATAAGATCCGGATTTTCAACTCCAATGTGAAGTCAGTGCTACTTACTATACGGATTAGAGACTTGCACTGCGCGTCATCAAGAGCATCTCAAACAAACTACAGACCTTCATTAACAGTTGTCTTCGCTCAATACTCAAGATCAGATGGCCAGTCAGAAAAGAACAGCAACAGAGATCTCTGGGAGCGAACCAACCAGGAACCGATTGTGAAACAAATAGGCAGGAAGAAATGGAGATGGATTGGCTGGCCATACTCTGAGGAAACCATTAAGTGACATCACTAGACAAGCCATTGCTCGGGTGGAACCCGAAAGCGAAGCGGGTAGTTGGTCGTCAGTGCAAGGGTGACTTGGAGGAGGTCATGTGAAGAGGAGATGAAAACGTGTGGGCAGACTTGGAGCCAGGTGAAGACTCTAGCAGAGAACCGAACGCAATGGAGACGCACGGCTGAAGCCTATGTTCCTCTAGGAATTAAAGGACACAATAATAATAATAAAACTCCAGACCTGTAGTGATACCATCTTCAGTATGTTTTCCTTTCCTTTAGTACAAATAATTGAGTGATATTAGATTATGAGAATATTTAAACGTGGAGATAACATAACGAAAGTTAACAGTGAAATCTTTTTTCCGACAAAATTTGCTAACATCAGCATTTTTTCACTAAAATTTATGAAATAAAACAAGTGGATTGATAGGTATATGGTCAAGCTGCTATACTTTTAGACAATTTAGCAATCATAAGTGTAGGGTACTTAATAGAGAGCTCGGTAATGGAACAAATATTAGAATAAAAATTCAGGTTAATGAAATGATACTGTAACAGTATATTATAAAAATACAGTTAACGAGTTATATAAACTAAAGGTCAAAGTCCGCTCCTACAAATTATTAATATAATACACAGAAGTGTTCATTTCTGAAGTCGTTTCTACTAGTAGAAGCTGTGCACCAGTTGTAGAATAGTCCAGATGAAGATGGGAGGTTCCTGCAAACTCCAAATGATAAAACACGGTTAGTAGTGAAGCCAGTAGACAGTATGCACCAGTGAGAAGACGAAGCGTCGAGCAGCCCACTGTATTTTAAGTTATGTATATTTTACAATAAATCGTTTTAAACAAAGTTATATAGATGTTTCCATTTGTTAACATTTGACAAAAAACTGTACAATCATATTGTTTGAAACTCCACATAGACATCTCAATTAATGCGGTTAATAAACTAGGGGATCAGAGTTCAGGGATGTGAATTAATGGATAACAATCGGGGTTCGATCCTCTACCGACGCACACCCGATATCTATGGTCGGCCTGTAAATTTGGGCTACCGATATCTATGCTGAAAACTCCATGCTTGTACTGAAAATACGGTGTGGCACCAAGCTGTAATCAAAATAATAAAAATAATAATAAAGTTATATTCATAAGAACAAGGATAAATTCATTCCAGTGTTTATATAATCTGAGTTTCACAAATATTACTATTATTATTACATTATCTAAGCGCTGTGTGACAACAGTTATTTACCCCTCTGCCTCTACTACTATACACTGACCATTGCCTAGATTATGGGAACACATGAATGAGTTTATCCTTATTATTATTATTATGGTCACCTCGATTGTTATCCATCAATTCACATCCCTGAATTTAGCGATCAGCAAACATAATTTAGAAATGTACTTATTTTCGGTAATTTTCCATTAGGCTTTACAGTTGTACATTGATGTTATTCAGTTTAGATATTTGTTACCATTTCGAATATTACAAATGAAGTTCAAGTATATACAGTAATAATAATAATAATAATTTGCTTTATTCCAAAACAGTACATGTGATACAGAATGGAATTCTCAACAGTATTGCATCCAGTTAGTACATTATCAAATTCTACATAGATTAAGGAAATCTCAGTTCATTATGACAACAACACATTGGCATGTCAGTAGCAAAGGTAAAACTGAAACAGTGTTTGAAGGTGTTAGAAAAGTAAGAGCTGTCATATTTACTGGCGTAAGCGAGAGAAAGAAACAAAGCAGCACATAACGAAAAAAGAGAGAGAGAGAAAAGGACAAGAAAGAAGGAAAATGTCGTACCTATAAATGATATGATTTGGAAAGACGAGATCCAGTTGTACTACTGACTATTTAATGAATTATAAGTGTCACGCTTAATGCTTTCTTTATCACACAGAACACAAGCTAATTAGGGTATGGTTGAGTTTTTGTACTTGCTGGTGCGAGCATATAGTTTTCTATATAGGCTTTTGGTTTTACCTGATGAGATGCAGGGGGAGAGTTGTGAGTGAAGAGGGTGGTGTGAGTTGGATAAAATGGATTTGGCCCATTTTTCACATGAGTCCATGTGCCTGTTAACCAGAATATTAACAAGCTGGTTAAGTGGCACGTCGCTAACCCTGCTGACAACCTTTAACATCCTGCGTAATATGTTATAATCTTTCTTCAGTAGCCCGGGAAAAACTAAGGGGGAACAGTAGAGAATAATAGGCAGAATGCGGGAATTAACGAATTGTAGGAGTAAGGGTTGGGTTATACCAGAATGTTTTAACTTCTTGATGTAGAGGGTAAGACGGAATATTTTCTTAGAAATCGCTAAGATATGAGACGACCAGGAGAGATCAGCGGATAGAATGACGCCTAGGTATTTAGTGAAATCATTAATATCAATATTAATGAAATCATGAAATCTAGCCAGTTACTGTAGACGTATAAGTAGGTTTTCTAGGGATATAAGCGCACAGAGAAAAAAATGAGCTGTTATCTGATAGAAGTTGGATAGAAATTATCCTGCTTTGTCGTAAATTGTGAAATTAAGACAGGAAAATGAAATTATCAGTGAATATGAATGGGATTATTAAGTTAATAGTACGGAAAAAGGTAATATTTACAATTATCTAGTGCTGATAAGATGTATTCAGTGGTAACGACTCACACATTTAATTATTTTTCTCTTATAAAACGTTACCATGCATTAAGTGAGTGTGTTGCTTTTATTGGTTGGAATTCTATTCACATATCTGATCACATTTCATGAATTAAACAGCTGAAGCTAGTAAACAAACTGTTAGATTATACGAATAGATAAAAATACACTTCAGTATGAATTCAAAAACAATTATCTCAGTGTATTTTAATACTTAAACAACGTGTTCGATATAAATCTAAATTACGCATATTCTTTTACAAGTTTTATTCGAAGCAGAAGTACTGGAAGTGATCATTTAGAGGGTGGAAGTAAGTGGTTTGTAAGCAATCTATTTCTTCACTCCAACTGCTAATTTGATTTAACCGTTTTGTACACTTTGTAACAACAGAAGGTAAGACAAGGAAGCCAAGGTATATTTTCATTAATCAAGCGTATGTATATATATCCGTAGTTTATATTCCTTAACCAATCACCGAGCTTGAGATTTTGGTTGACATTACACGATACGAAATAGAGTGTCTGAATATACATAGCATTCTATTGCTAACGCAGTAATGAACTGTGAGAATAATGTTCTGACTCTAGCAACAAACAGAATGTTCAAATAGATATATCGTATTCTGTTGCTAATGCCTTACTGAACTGTGGGAATGTGTGGAAATTATATTCCGTTGGAATACATTGTCTGTTTCACACCACCACAACTTGAATTCATAAAAGTAGAATGTTAACCATAGATTTTAGAAACCTGCTCTTGTAATTTGAAAAAAAATGAATCTATAAAAATGTGAATATATCTTGTTTTCTGCAGTAGTAGCAATAGTCTTTTCTTGGAATACTTGAAACAGGAAGAGCATCAGTGTTGCATAACCACAGAGCCCAGAGGACAACTACTTGAGGCCCACCACACACGTCCTGTTTAGAACTGGTTTTTGGAGTTGCGTCAATACTGAGATATTACCGCTGGCTGCGGACCACTGCTAAATAAGCTAGGATGTACAGTTTTCAGCTTCGGCATTTTCTAACCTTCTCCCTTCAGAGCGAAGAGGCAGCATAGCTGGCATGGTAGTCATCTAAGGGAAACACCGTATTATCATTACATTCCTATTCCCTAGCAGGACGACTTCCCCCACAGACCTCCAACATAATGCAAACAACTTACACTATGACGGCAACTGAATTTTATCTAATCGTTATCCAAATAACTTTCTGGCATGGTAGCACCTGCAAGAACATTGGTACAAGCTGGTGTAACTCGCTGGGTCATTACAACGTGCAACTCCGACTACCACTATGTCAAGGTAGCAGCTATCGGTCGTTAGTAGTAGCTGTAGTGGATCGACTCAAGTTTTATTTCCAGTAGACGAACTCCGAAACCTGCCTAGTTTAGTAATCAGAAGTAAACATGATAAAAAGGGACATTTGGGCATGAAGCTAACAACCTAACCCGGGAAAGAATACAACATCATCGCTACTGAAATTTAATAGACGAAAGCCTTATGTCCTCCTAGAAATGCAAGGAATGAAAAGGAGAGTAGTGGTACTAGTTCACAAGAGAATGGTTTATCATCGCATGTAGCTCATTAGATTGAACTAACAGCAGCCCATATTTTTATCGAGCTATTCAAAAACATTTTACAAAATGTATCCAAATTCTAGTCCGTTCAAAAGTGAATGTGTCTGAATATCCCAGCAACATGGTGGACACTATTTAAAAGTACCTTTTTCAGGCATACAGATGTGTGTTTAGTTGTTATTCTGTACAATCAAGTTGATAATTGTAATGCAATGAAAACAGATAACATAATTAGGATATGTATGTAGTAAATGAACTCAAAATGATGTCACGCAGATTGATCAGTGATTTACCAAGTACTGAAACACATTAATCGACAAAAGTAATTTGATATATACTCTTTAAGGCAAAATAATAAATTCAGTTAATTCAAATAAAATAAAACAAAACAATTGCCATAGATAATCATTTCAGTAGAACCAAATACGAATGATGTTATACTGGTTAAGAACCTGTGAAAAAAATCATAAATTTCATTAACTCTCAAATGACAGTGATGATGGTTAGTATATTATAGAGCGCTCAATGTAAAATAGAAAATCGGTGAGCAAAACACTTTTAACCATAATATTTAATCATAGATAATAAATTTAAGAATTTCTAATTGTTCCTAGAACTTGAAATTTCATTTTTTTTCATCTCGGATAGGCAAGTCACCATTGGCCATGAAATAATGCCTTCAAATTAGCTTGAAGATTAATTTACGCAAGATGTTTGAATAATCGGGATTTTTGGTGTAGAAAATAATGTAAACCACTTTGTTTTCGAAACTGTTTTGTGTATGTATGGTCAAATGTATCCATTTTGGCTTTTAAGTATTTTCTATGGAATATCTTCTATTTAAAATATGACAATCAATGTCCATTTATCACAAAACAACGATATTATTCTGCTCAAAAACTACAGGAAATATACTTTAAAGAAATACATACATGTCAGTATGAATAATTATTTTGCGCGGAAGTTTGTATGTCAGTACTTCACATATGTTAAAACAAATTTTAAATGCTTTTGTTGTACATGAGTGATCTTGATCAATTGCATTTTGAATTTCATATTCCTTAAGTGGAAAGTTATTTTTACTAGGTTGGATACTAAGGTGATTTGCCATATATTTTAATGTCACATAAAATTAAAAACTGACATGTATGTTAATATGAATTAAAGATGCATTCACGTCAAAGCAAATATAGTTTTTGGAAATCACTTTAAAACTAAAGTAAGTAGTATTAATATTTATGAATAGACGTATCTATATTAGATGGTTGGAGGTGTAATCAGCAAGAAGCCTCGGACCTAGGTTTCGTGCTGGTTGGCACTCACCACTCAGCAAGACATATCTGCGACCTTGAAGGAACCCATGTCCCTTCTGAGATGCGAACCCGCATCACCCAGTGCTGCAGTCAGAGACGTTAACACTGAGCTATTCGGGCTTGCTGTTGATCTCCTGTGGGACTGTACTGGATATTTCGATTAGACACTAGTAACTAGTGTGATGCGTCTATTCCTATTTTTGTGCAGACTGAGTTCTATCAGTCAGGTTTGCATTGTGGCTTGCTGCCGATTGCCTCCAACCATCTAATATCATCAAATCAATGTGCACCATGACGGCGAGCTACCTAGAATGGTGGCCATATTACAAACCTGACTGACAGAATTCAGTCTGCGCTAAAGAGAGGACTAGACACATCACACTAGTTACTAGTGTCCAATCAAAGACTTATCTGTAATAACTAAGTTGTTCATTTCTGTACAGTTTCCTTAAAGTTCACGTGTGTTGGAAAAGACTATTCAAACTTTGTTATGATATTTAAAGACTAAAATTTCCTATCATCTTATAAGAGGCTATGACAGGACATAGGCTAAATACCCGCAGTTTGATTGACCGCCAGTTGGACACAAATAAAAACGAAGCATACCTGATGCAATAGTCCGTAGATAGCAGTAAAAAATCATGAAAATGCAATTTTATCTGCTTAACTTTGAATCCTTAAGCCTAAATATGACTATGAAGTAGCATTTGGTGTCACAGACCAGCAAGAACCCTGAAACTGTCCAATAAATACCTTATCAAAATTTCACCAATCCATAATTTAATTTCAGGTTAGACCATGGATTCACACCAGTTAGAGAATCATTGAAACCAAGGAGTATTAGACAGTCATTTCGTCCTAGTCTGGGACTCATCAGCAGTACGCACCCACCGCCAGGGTTCGAACCCAGGACCTTCCAGGTACAAGGCAAGCTCGTATACCATCAGACACTGGGACCCGATTCAAAGGGCTAGCCCATGATTTCTAACTTCTACGAATTCGTGAATTTAGCACGACCACCAACCGATGTCATCCATCCTCACTGCCGACTGGATTGACCCCATTGGTCACGACTTCTCGCTATAACTCCTGGCAACTTTGTCCTGTAGCCATAATTTAATGTCAAATATATGAATAATGTATTACTTCTTTTATTACGTTAACATAGCAGCGCTAAAATAAGCGTCGTTGTTAGGTTATGTCGAAAAGCCATTCTCTTGTACGCCTATTAACATATTTAAAATAATACCTTAATCGAAAATCATCTATAAACTTTCAAATATAATTTAAAAGTTCAGTGGAGTTATGAACACCAGCTTTTTTAAGACAAATATTTATTAACTGAAGTGACAAATCATACAGATTCAATCCAAACGAATATTTACTGACTAAACTCAGTATCTAATGTCCGGTATGCTTTTCAATAAATGTTCTAAGAAAAGAAAGCTACTTCTAGTACCTGATACATATTACATTATGGCTAAATGATCAACCTCTAAAACCTCAGTGAATTACTACTCTAGTAATTACAGTGTGAACAATTTTTAGAACAGCTAACAAGATGATTAAGTTTCAAAATCGTCTTTTCAAAATATTCACTTTAGTTTAGTGATCAGGAAAAAAAGTCATAAAAAAGTAAATGCAGTCGACCCATAAATATGGAATAACCTTTTGGCTTTTAAAAATAATGAAATAAAGAATCAATCTCAATAGAATTTTCTTTTTTATCCCTTTGCGTTTCGAGTAGGACATAAGGCTTTAAGCTTTAAAGTTTCAGTCGCGGTGGTATGTCTCACGTATAACTTCCCTTGTTTACCGGGTCTACTACTGCCTAGGTAAGGATTAGGAGTTTCACGCCAGGAATCGGACCCTGACCATGCGTGTGGCTGGCAGGCATCCTATCCCTCAGCCAGTGACGTACTAAATAATGATTTTAGCTCCAATTTAGTAGATGTAGGTTGTTTAAGGGTTCACCAGTTTAGGAGATGATGGATGTTAATGGTTACGCAAAACACGTTGCATACATAAGCAAGTGTTTAATCTGTAACTCACAAAGTAATTGTTCTAATGAAACCAAAGACAAATCAAAACAACAGGTTGATCATCCATAATATGAGATATATTTTGGGGTCAGAAATGCAGAGCGATGATGGTAGCTTAACAAGCTAGGCAGTGTACATGAGCCACCGAAGGTAATATGACAGCGTGCCAAATAGCAAGGATGCTTAACTGCGTATCTTCGGGCCAAACAATTCGACTTAAACAGTGAAGAATGCTGTACACTAATAATCTCGAGGAGTTATTTACTTCTACAGTATCATCAACTACCATGATAATTATGATGATGATGGTGAGTTTTAAAAGAAGTGTCTAAATGTTACATCTTTCTGTGTTTCAGTAAATTATTTAATGGATGAGGTCCAATGTACTGGAAGTGAAAAACGTCTTATCGACTGCAGATTTAATGGTTGGGGTGTACATGACTGTCGTCAAAATGAAGAAGCTGGTGTAAAATGCGCTCAGAAAGCGCCAGTAATAGATAAACCTCCATGGAATCCACTCCGATTAAATTTCAGTCGAAATGAGTTAGAAAAAATGTCCAAAGTAAGTAAACTATTTGATGCTATGTTTAAAATCATTATCGTCTCAATTTCATTTATAACTGAATACGTAATTTATGAAAACTACCAAATTTTAAATGAAATGTAACTCTTAGCTTATTTGCAATATATATATATATATATATATATATATATATATACATTCAAACATATCATGTACACCTTCGTTACCGAAACTGTTAAAGCTTTTAGCGAAATCATAAAATCAACTTTGACATTATATCTTCTTCGATGAGTTAGCGCCTCACCTTCAACCTGCTGTACCCTACTGGTCACTAGAACCCCAGGTTAACTGCCTGCATAGGGCTAGTCGAGAGTGAGCATCAGATTAATTTTCAAGTATTGGTTTTGTAGGGATTGTGTTTGATTGGTTGGAGAGTCTCCTCATGATCTGACATCAATTAGAGAACCATTGGAAAGCCTGGGATTGCTGGACAGCTGTTTCGTCCTAGTACACATCTATGACCTCAACAGGGATCGAACCAAGGACCTTCAAGCTATGAGACCAAGCTTCTTTAACATTCAGCCTTTTGGGTGGGAATCCAATGGTCCATGAATTCTAACTTCTGTCATCATTTCATCATTTTTAGATTATATACTTCCAGGTGAAAACTCTCTGCACTTTAATTTCAAAATATTCGAAATATTTAGACTACAATATATGATCTGCCTGATACCATAAATGACAGTCAAAAGATCAGGCAGTATAATGTGATGCTATATACTACTAATTGATATAAGTAGTTAGAAAACATTAACCCCAATGAATTTAAGTCTGTTTATTACTAGTTCGCATAAGCAGCTAGTTAGAATTCAAGTGGTTTGAAATTATCCGGCTATTCCAGCTGGGTCTGACTAGGCACACCAACAGTAAACTGTGTCAAAAAACCGTGCAAAATGACTATCCAGTGTTTATTTCATTTCAGTTTGGCCACAAGCACTACTTGTTAATGTGAGTTGTCTCCAGCTCAATAGGATATGCTATCTTTTTTTAATGCTATGTCAGCCAATATGTAAATACGTGCAACACGTATACAACTAGATAAATTATAGTAGATTTTACAGGGGTGCATCAGTTCAAGTTACTACATTTCAAAACATTACACACAAAAGAAGTGAACAGTCGTATAACGATGCCGTAACGTAAAACAACAGGATTACGATGATGATAAGAAATGAATGTACAAATGCTACTATAAACGTTGGTGAGTTATATCATCGAAAGTGTGCAGTGACTCACTTGTTGGGCAGAGGTGTACTACCTGCATCCTAAATATCATCTAGTCCTTTTTTCTGTAGGAAGTCAATGCCTAACACAATCAAAGTTCAAAAGAATTATTCGAAACAATATATCTGTAATAAAATAAATAAGCAGTTTAAGTCATCAGTGGGGGATGTGAATGGTTACCATCACTTTTAACGATAACTCCTCAGAAGGTCTAACACGACTGTCTGAATTCAAGTGAAGTATCGTGACTAGTATAAGATGCTTTTCGGTGCCACATTCACAGTCGAAAGTTGCTACAATACATTATGGTTGATAAAGTCGAGTGCCACATTCCAATTAAGAACCATGGTGAGTGGAGAATCTCTATAATTATGTCACTGTTCGAGGTTTGATTAATTTCATTGACATTTTGACCTGAAACGTGTGAGACAGTAACAAATTTTTCGAAAAGTCTTGAGTAATTTCCAAGCTTCATATATATATATATATATATATCACTTTTAATCATTATCTTGTGTAAATTCATAAAAAACACTTACAATTTTAAAAGATAGGCTAGAAAACTACCTGCTAATCATTCTTGAAATGAATCCAGTTGATAGGCATACAACTATTTAGTGTTTAAAAAATAAACATGATCATCTCAGAATGTTTTCATGCGAATATTCTTTTTTATTAAGTTTCTTGTATTTCCTCTTTGTGAACAGTCTTTTATTCTTAAACATTAACTACAGTATCTTCAACAAAAATCTTGCAGTGTATATTTCACTTCACATTTAGTCAAGTGCCTAGGATTCAGGAACATGCGAAACACAATGCTGGAATCTAGTGCTCCCCGATTTTCAATAATCTCTAACTTTGAAATTTATCCAAATCCTTAGAAAAACCCATAATCTAAATATCACAGTCTCCAGTTCATTGACGGCTACTCGATGGATGTCCTCAAGCTATACTGAGAAATAGTAACCTATGGGGTTCACTATGTCAAAATGAAATCGACACAAATCGAAGGTATTAGTTGAGGCTAGCACTATATCACGAAATGAAAAAGTTAGAATTCAAAGGCTATTGAATCCCCACCCAAGTGGCTGGCTGGTCAACGACCTTGGTCTCTTAATCTGAAGATCCCAGGTTCGATCCGTGTTTGGGTCATGGGTGTGCAGTGATGAAGAGTGTCAAATGAGGACGAAACAGCTGTCCAGTGTTCTGTTATGATGTTGGTTCGTGAGGAAATCTATTATGCAGTTATACTGAAACCAGTGAAATAAAATAATAAGTGTTACACTATGACACTTATTCGAGAAAAAAGAACTCAATTTAACGAAGACACATTTTGGGATTGTATGAATAAGAAAAATTTCAACAAGTTAAATACAGAAACTGAATTTCAGTGTTAAGAGAAGTATTAAGAGACAATATTTACTGAAAACTACATAGCTGAAGTTAGCTGTTCTCACACCTAGTAGTGCAGTTTGTCCATTTCAAAAAATTGAAATCCTAATAATCCACCATTTAAGAAACTACGCAGATGAAAAGGAATCATTGTCTTGGACTCAAAAATGTAACAAATAACAAATATAACACTATGACAACATTAACAGTAAAGATTCATAGAATTTAGATCGTAATTTAGACATGCCAGGTTGATATGATCGTAAGAAAGCCAAAGCAGATCAGTAATGAAAATAGACTTCCTCACTTCAGATAGTCGAATATATTTTAGAAGGGAGGCGGGCAGCTTGAATCGTGCACGACTCAGATAAGTTCAGATTTCATCATAAGTTAACGTCCATTGCATTATTATCAGTTTGCTATTCCCAAGTTATTTCAGATAACTTGGTGACCAACAAATCCAAAGTACTTTAGTTTGAAAGCAGGAAACCAAACAATGAAACTAAGTCAATACTATCAAAACGATTTACAATGTTCTTCTGTATGGTTTTCCAAACTTTCATGAGTCAAGTACAACAGAGAATTTTATTCTGACAATATCAAAACACGATTCCACATGATAAAATATACAGCGTTAATAAACGATAATAACTTATATCATGAATAAAAGGTACCTCAACAATACCGTTAGGTAACCGTACAGTCCAACGGCTTTTCGGGTGCAAAATGCATAAAATACAACAAAATTAATTAACTAAACACAGTTATAAAATATTTGAAAATCAACAAGAGTATCCCCCCCCCCACCAAAAAAACTAACAGGATCAAAATCTGATCATCAAGAATTAAATACAATAAGACACGTTTCTTGCAGACAGTTTATGGGCAGGTGACCACTCCAAGACGTAACCTTGAATTCACTCAAACATAATCACTGCTGTAAAACAACATAGCATCGTCAACAGTTCAAATTCACACAATAGCAAAGTGAAGCATAAAGAATCAGAATCAATCAAAAACGAAATGAATTATGAGGTGTCAGTCAAGAAAAGACGTGGGAAATTACAGAATGACGATACATAGGTTATGGGTGGCACAGTGGTTAGGACTCTCGCCGACCATGCACATGGTCCGGGGTTCGATCCCCTGCCGGCGCACACCCGATATCTATGGTCGGCCTGAATTTGGGCTACCGATATCCATGCTGAAAATTCCATACTTGTACTGAAAATACGGTGTGGAATCAAGCTGTAATCAAAATCAAAATAAAATAAAAAAATAATTAATTACAAAATTAATTGAAATACTCAGATAAATTTCGATGCTTGGTGGTACAGCGGTTAGGACTTTCGCCGACCATGCACATGCTGCGGGGTTCTACCCCCATCCGACGCACACCTGATATCAATTGGTCGGCCTGCTAAATTTAGACTACCGATATCACATGCTGAAAATTCCATACTTGTACCAATAATACGGTATGGGATCAATGTATAATAAAAAAATTGTTTTTTTCAGGAGGGATTTTCAGATAAATCACTCTGTTATACATCTTATCATCAATTTGCAATCTACTCACCTTCTTAAATCTGGTGTTTTCTTAGTGTTTATTTCTTTATAGCATGATGTATCAACAGTAGAAGCAACTGATACATGTTCCTCATCTTAGTTGATACATTTTTGTTATCTTATCTATTTCAATTATATTAGGTACAATTTAATGTGATAAATCAACTTTCTGGTTCAAGTCAACAATCACAGTCGTCAACATTCCTTCCAGTTGTAATAAAAACAAAAAATGGAACAATAGGAACAGTGTGTCCAGACCACTTTCATGCAGCTGAAGCAATTGTATTTTGTCATCAAATGAATACGGGTCACGGGGGTAGAGTTATTCCAGTAAGCTGTATTTAATGCAAGTTAAAATTGTCAAAACTTATATTATTTTAATAACTTACTATTTAAAGTATGAAATTAAATGTTCTTAATTGTTTCACATAGCAAAATAACATTAGATTAGATTCACAATTCGCAAATCAATTAGTAGTTTGCATTACTGGTTGATATGAGTGGTATGCAACTACTAATTACAATCAATCAGTAGTATACAATTTTATGCTAAATTAAATTATGCTGTTTTTTTTACTGTAACTTTATTCTGTTCAATTTAAAGGAATATTTTAATGAAGAATACACATAAGAGAACAAAGTTGACAGGCTGGATTAACTTGTATGGCATAAAGCATAAATCCTTACTGTTTCGAAAAACAACATCAGAAGAAAATGAAAAGTCTTAGATATGATGGAGAAGATTTGTAGCCCAGGTGGATGATTTTGATGTAGTTTTGTTCTCTGAGCTGGATGGTTTATTTACGAAGCTTTCATTGCCCTACTAGGCAACATCTTCAGCGCATACTTCACTGTGACTTCAAATTGCCTAGTAGGGCAAGGAAAGCTTAAAAAATAAACCACCCAGCTCAGAGAACACAACTACATCAAAATGAAAAGTTGTTAATAAGAAGCTACACAAAGCCAGTTAATGAAATAAACAACTTAGGTAAGCAATAACCTACTTTTCATTGAAAGAATTAAATGAGTCCGAAATTCAGTTATCAGTGGTTTCTGATGGTTCTTTAGTTTTAGTTACCAGTGAGATCCATTTTGAAGCCAATCGACTATCTACCAACCTAAAAAAAATTAGTTTTACTTCATTATGTAACTATTTTTAGCTAGACGAATAATCAGCACATCTGTTAGGACTAGATAACTACACTCCAGTGCTCATTTTCCAAATGACTATTTACCTGGGTATTCAACTAAATCTATCTACAGTCGGTGAAAATTGGTTACTTAGAGACCATTATTTTATTTTATTTTTCCTCACAGATGCCGATAAAACAGACTGGAATTGAAGGTGCTACTAAACCAATTGCTATAATTGGATATTGTTATGGAAATGAAACTAAGTTAAAGGATTGTAAAAGTTATATCGATTTCAATGGTGTACCTTGTCAGTCACAATTAGTAGCAGCTGTTGAGTGTACAGAAAGTAAAACAGAAATCATTTAGTAATATTATATATATATATATGTATATATATATAATTTATACAAATTATTCATAGATTTAATTAGCATAAATATTCATGTACAGTAATTTATTTGTATGGAAAAACTAATCTTAAATCCTATCGACTTTTTCATAAAATAAGGCGTATTAATTTTACAGGGTTAGAAACTTGGCGTGTTACGAAAAGGATTTCCAAGTGGCTGCAGACTTTCATCAACAGCTGCTCCTTTCGCTGGCTGCATACTGAAGATCAAATGGCCAGAAAGAATAAGCAACAAGAAACTATGAGAACAAACCAACCAAGAGCCGATCGCTCAACAAATATGTAGGAGAAAGTGGAGATGGATCGGGCATACATTGAGGAGGCCGCCAAATGACATCGCACGCCAGGCCATTGCTAGAGTGGAATTCAAATGGGAAGCGACGAGTGAATCGTCATAGGGTGACATGGAGGAGATAGTGTGAGGAAGAGATGAGAGAGTTTGGTCAACCGTGAACCCACCTGAAGAAGACGGCAGAAAACAGAACAAAGTGGAGATGTGTTGTTGAAGCCCTATGTTTCACTTGGAACGTAATGGAATAATAATAAATAATAATTTTATAGGGTTGTTGAAATCAACCATATAGTCTTTATTATCAGTTTGATTTCCTCTCTCTTTTATGACTAAAATTGTTGAACCAAATACTCAGTTAGCTCAACAGAAATTTAGTCTTTCAATATACAACAAATATACATAAGAAAATGGAGACAGATAGAAGATAACATGCGCCAGGCCTTCGAGTGGAATCCTTATGCGAAACGATGAGTTGAACATGGGTTCAAGAGTACTATGAAGAGAAAATGAATGCTTATAGGCAGTGGTGTAGACAGCTAAAAAGAGAATACAGGGAACAGGGTATAATGGAGATGTACTTCTGAAACCCAATGTTCCACTTGGAAAGCAAAGGAAGAATAATGAGAACAGAATAACTAAAAGTAGTAATGATGTTCAAAGATATACTTACTAAAAGGTTGTTAGAAGGTTGCTCTGTTGCATAAGTAGACAATCGAAAGTAAAGGAAACTTCGATTTCTTTCATATTTACAACACTAGTCATAGTGTCAGTTTATCTGATTTCATGAAAACGTCTATGCAATACACTTTGCATTTGACTGATTTTATGTATTGGTGAATTATCTATGAAGTAGATGTCAAGTGTTAATTACTTGAAGCTGATGTTCTTGGTAGTGACTAGTATTGGAGTCTAGGGTGCACCTTTCTCTCCATTTTGGACTTATGAAATGGATGCAGCTTCACCCTTTTGAGTAATGGTGTTATCACTAAAACTTGAACACAACACCCACGATTTCATACAACAAAGTGTTATCAACAAAATTAGTTCGAAGGGGATTTTCGTTACAAAAAACGGAGATAGAATATGAACACATGTGAATTAACAAAAAGAATGCAAACATGTAGTTTACTTCATTTCTAATGTATCATATAGCCAAGAATTTAACTCCATGTTTGATAAGTTCATTAGATAGAGCACCCAGTGATACAGTATTAATTACTGGATGGCGTTTCCAACACTATTTACCACTGATAATCACATTACACGGCTTCATAATTCGCCTCATGAATTCTTCCTCCTCCTCTTGTTATTCATTGTAATTTTCCATATATCTGCTACAGGCGATGCGTCACTTCGATTGCACGTGTTTCGTGATTAACCTCTCTCTCCGCCTAACTGTATTACTTTTTAATACTCTCACCTTGTCCGACCCTACTGTCTGATCACATGCAAGTGAATGTACTCCAATGACTGAGTTTCTGCTGTAGGTTATTTAACTCGGCGAAATGACTCATCGCCTGTACCGGATAAATGGAAAATTACAATGAATAACAAGAGAAAGGGAAACAATTCATGAGGCAAGTTATGAAGCCGTGTCAATGAATTGGTATGATCAACAGTGAATAGTAATGCTGAAAACGCCATCCAGTAATTAATACTTTACCAGTGAGCGCTTTATCTAATGGAATTATATTCTAAGACGTCATCCAAGTTCTAAACTTACATAAATTTTCAAGTATTGGTTTTGTAGGGATTTTGTTTGATTGCATGGAGGATTTCATCATGAGCTTACATCAGTTAAAGTACCACTGGAAAACCTGGGAGTCCTGAACAGCTGTTTCGTCCTAGTTTGGGGCTCTTCATCAGTACGCACCCACAGACACGGTTCGAAACCAGGACCTTCTCGTTACAAGACGAGTGAGCTCGTAGACCATTGAGTCACTGAGACCCGATCTAATGGCCCATGAATCCTTACTTCTCCCAATTCACGACATAGCGGGACTATTTCGCAGTGTCTTCTTCAATGAGTTACTGCCTCATCTTCAACCTGCTGTAACCTACTGGTCACAGCTTCCCACTAGAATCACAAGTCACTGCTTGAATAAATTTCTTTTAGTGTGGTGTCTTACAACAATAGAAGGTAATGTTAAGAAATGAGTGATGTGGATTGTTGAACAATAGCAGTAACTGGTGAAATCTAAAGAAATTTATTAAACTGCTTCTTGAAAAATAAATAAGACTTCAAAGTCCAAGTGTTTACTACTGATATCATTTATGTGCATTACAAGTATTCTCATTCGTCTTAATATTCATATACATGAATTACAAAATTATTTCAGTTTGTATTACCCTTTTACATTCATCTTTTTAGACCTGCCGGATTTATTGCCTGATCGTTACAGTTTAGAAACTTCTGCATATATTCAAAAAATGAGCCTTTGGTTACTTGAATGTGCACTTGAAGAAAATTGTTTACCAGAGATAGTGTATAGAATTATTGACAACAATCCTTGTAAGTTATTTAGATTATTTGTATTTATATTCTATTGCGTTCCAAGTGAAACATAGGATTTCAACGTAAAACTTTGAAGTTTCAGTAGTAGTGGTGTTCATTTTTACGGGGTAAGCTTTCTAGCCTCAAACACAACATTCTCCCTTTACAGGACTTACTACCGGCTAAGCAAAGTTTAGGGGTGAGTTGGCCGGGGATGGAACCCTTGATCACGTGAGCGGTTGGTGAGTATTCTACCACTGAAACACCGACACACTATTCACCCACCCAGGACCTTCCAGTCTCGAGGCAAGCTCGTAGACCATTCAGCCACTGTGACCCGAGTTATTTACAAGTGATTGTCAATATCAACTTCAAAATACAGTGCGAAATATCCAGTTTTTCTCCCATTTGTTACATGAAATATCCTTCCATTCCAGTCATTTTAGGTAATAAGCAGGGTTAATTAAAATGGACCACGTCTGAGTAGTTCCTTCGCCTGATGAACTTAACTGTTTCGACTAGAATTATTGGTAGAATATTTTACCTAGTGGAAATTTTGTCCCAATGAACCTTTAGGCTTTGATATCATCCTTGTTGTAGATGCTAAACAGAATCCATGATCATTTATAGGAACGTTCAGCAAAGCCTTTGAATCTTTGTATCACATTCTAACATACTCACGAACATTAGTAATGTCAAATTTCAATTGGTGTAATGCTAATTAGTAAATCACTCTCAGTTGTTATAGAAAGCATAATATGTATAGAAGATAGTTGTGAGAAAGTGAACATAAACATCTTAGTAGTTTGTCATGATGACATTCAATCGGAATCGTAACTTCCTATAGTAGTATTGTTAGTGTTTTTATGCATACTTGCATTGGAAATCCTGTTTGTCTAATCATTGACGCGTGTGCTGATTGTTAATTACCCTAAGTTCCGGACTGCCTAATAACTCCAGACACTATTTTATTTGCTCTGTTTAAGACACTTATCTTCTCCTAGTAAACTGATGACCATAGATGCACTCATTCAATACAGCTTTCTTGAGATTGTTACGTTACCGGGCCTATTGTTCACTTGGTCAGACGACTGATGCTTAACTGAATCATCTCGTAAGTTTATATATTCTCATCGGGCAAATGACATATGCAATGCAACAAAGAGAATATTCGAATCCTCTTTTGTGTTGCCGTGTGAAATAGGGATCTAAAAATAAATAGATTTTCAAATGTCAACTCTTCTGACACTAGAATGGCATGCAGATATACAAACTTACTTCAAGACAAAATCTGCTAACGGAAGAAATCTAATAACACAAGTGGATCGAAGCATTAGATCTAGGAGACATCGTATTGGGACAGTATGACTGAATGAATTGGTTAAGTTGTTTAGTCAGTATGTGACAGATTGAGATGATGTAAAGTGTGAATCAAGGTATTTCTAAACTTTATTCATACTGCAAATGAATTTACAAAATGATCATTATCGACTATATTGGTAAGCTTGTGGTAATGTGATACAGACAATGGTGTTAACGTATGAATACTGTTCCCACAGTTCAGTACTGCATTAGCAACAGAATAATATGCGTATTTGAATATTCTATTTCATGTCGTTTAATGTAAGCCAAAATCACAAGCACAGTGATTGATTAAAGAATACAAACTGAATAGATATAAATAACAGTTTGATCACTTGAAAATATACCTTGGCTTCCGTGTATTGCCATCTGCTGTTACAAGGTGACTCGTTACTCAAGATTTGAACATAGTCAAATATAAATGTATGTGTAAAACTTGGGGACTGTGGTAGTAAGTAATTCCATATCAAAGAAAATCTAAACCAAGAACTGATACATATAAAAGAAGCCTTGAAACTTAATAATTACCCGGATAAATTAGTCAGGAAATATGTAAGGAAATGTAAAAATAAAATAAATAATGATAATAGCGATAGGGATAATAACAATAATAATGATAATAATGACAATAATAATAATATTGATGACGACACCAACACTAAAGAGTCTAAATCATCAGTAGTAATTCCATACAAGGAAGGAACCTCGGAAGCCTTACGCAGAATTCTTAACAAGGCAGGAATAAAAACGGCATTCAAACCCACAAACTCAATTAGAAACAAGCTTTGTCGGTTAAAGGATCCTGTAGAGCCTTTAAAACAAAACAATTTAGTTTATCTAATACCCTGCCTGCGATGATTGTCAGGTCAAATACATGGGTCAAACTAGTAGAACAAGGGCAGTCAGACTAGCTGAACATAAAAACTTAGCAAAATCTAGATTGGTTGACCCAAATAAGATAAGAAATCTAGAGAATAGTTCAGCTATAGCACTCATTACATGCAGTTACACACAACCATACAATAGGATGGGATAGGATGACAGTTTTAAAATCTAATGTCACAGGTTATAGGGAGAGATTGATAACAGAAGCTTTGTTTATCGAATCAACTACAAATACATGTAATAGGAATGATTCATCACCTGTCCCCAATATCTGGAAAATTCTACTACCCCTACGACAAATAGGAGAGAACAAAGAAAACTATAAAACTCAAGTGTCAAAGTCGTGTGATTACAATTGATATGATTATGAACAATAAATTCTGTTCGAAACGTCATCCAGTAAATAATACTGTTTCACTGTGTGATATACCTAATAAACAAACTAATATGGAATAGTCAAATATACAAGAAGAAAAAATGATTTAGCATAAACTGTGTATTTAAAACTTTGTACAACAATTAAAACTGAAAAAAATGAGTTTACTAGAAGCTGCAAAATTAGCCTGATATAGTTATAAACACGAAACTTCATCTGAAACATTTTTCATCACTCAAACAATAGTACCTAGTTAGTAAATATGCTGTTGCCATTGTAACTGGGGTTGTAATTTTCACTACTAGAAATGAACAACTAATTGAATTTACCAGAAATTATAGGTACCCGAGACAAACGATAAGTTAAGGAACTATCATAACTCACAATAATTCGAGACAACCTAATTCTATGTATGTCCAAACAAAGTTCACTTTTAACAGTTTGAAAACATTTGGGCATTAGGTATATGCAATTCATTTTTATAAAAGTTTTTATATTTCCCAATGAATGAAAAAACAAGAGGATATTGTATTTACTGACGTTTCGCCATTTAATGCCAACAGCTTTATCAAAGTTTTATTAAACCAGAATTTTCAAAATCTCAGCTTATATATAACAACTTAACCGCCGTTTATCAGCATGGGGGCATTTTTGCGTTGTCAAATTGGCCAATTGGTAAAGATAACGAAACCAGGTGTAGATTGTTGGCTTTGATGAGTGTAGAAAATTATAAAAGCAGCCTGTGTTTACATAATGAAATTGTTTATAACATTCGTCTTGATTATGTCATTTCATGGGGGAGAAAGGTGTTGTAACCAAGTCGAATTCTCTTTTAGTTCATCATTCCTATTCAGACAATTTGGATTCCACTTAATATGAAGTGCTTCTGATGTTAAAAATTTTTTGTGATTTCTGAAATTTTTCTGGATTATTTCACTATTGTCAAAATCAACTTTGTGATCTGATTCTATAGCGTGTAGACCTATGGTTGATGATTTTTTAAGGTTTTCTAGTCCAACTGGATTTCTCGGTGATCGAACAAATGCTCTATGGGGTTCATTACCTCTGATTTTGATTCCTCGTTATGTTTGTACGATGTTTACCGCATCACATTCCAAGACACAATTAGATTGAGAATCCTTAGGGATTTGGTCTTTTACATGGACAGGGTTGGTTTGTAGTGTGTATGGTGTTTTGAAAAAAATTCTGATGTTGTGCTTATTGAGAACTCTTCTGATATCGTCTGATCTATATGACAACGTAAAAATGCCCCCATGCTAATGAACAATGATTAAGTTGTTATATATAAGCTGAGATTTTGAAAATTCTGGCTTAATAATGCTTTGATATAGCTATTGGCATTAAATAGAGAAATGTCAGTAAAAAGATTATCGTTTTGTTTTTCATTACAAGCTAATTCTAACTTAATCTGGAATACCTTAGGATATAGTCATCCTATCAGAATTGTTACGACTATTGAAAATACTTTTATGCGTAACTATAAAATCCAAAAGAGCAATTACAATTGAGATGTTGTCTCGCTGGCATAAATAGAAATCCAAATACCTAGCTGCATCAAGGACATTCGCCTAATTTGATTGGACATACTTTTTTGAAGGAATATTGACACCGGTGGGATATTTGGTTATCATGGTAAATGTAGTTGACAGGATGGCCATCAAAGTGAACAAGTTTTGGTTACAGGATTTCATCATGAGCTGACATTGGTTACAGAACCATTGGGAAACCTGGGAATACTGGACAGCTGTTTCCATTGTCCTGTTTGGGACTCTTCAGCAGTACGCACCCACTGGGGTTCGAACCCACGACCTTCTGGTTACAAGGCTCGTATACCATTAAGCCACCGGGACCCAACCCAATGGCCCATGAATTCTAACTTCTGCCAGTTCACGATATAGCGCAACCGCTAGCCAGTGTCTTCCGCGAGTATTTGTCCTCACACCCGACCTGCTGCACTTTACTGGTCACTGGCGACTGGCCCTATTCAATTACCTGGGGTTCCAGTGGGAAGTCAAAGACACTGGTTAGCGGTTGTGCTATATCGTGAATTGGCAGAAGTTAGAATTCATGGGCCATTGGATCGGGTCCCGGTGGCTTAATGGTATACGAGCCTTGTAACCAGAAGGTTGTGGGTTCAAATCCCGATGGGTGCGTACTGATGAAGAGTCCCAAACTAGGACGAAACAGCTGTCCAGTACTCCCAGGTTTCCCAATGGTTCTCTAACCAATGTCAGCTCATGATGAAACCCTGTAACCAGTCAACCAAATCCCTACAAACCAATACTTGAATAACCAAGTTTTGTATAGTAATCACCGGGTTTTCTAATGTTACAGCCATTATGGTTTGTCGATAGGATGATAAGATTGTGTGTGC